CCTGGGGCAGATGACCCTTTCTCCTACCTCTAATTATCCTACTGACTGGCAGCGATTCCCTTGTTGCAGCTGTGGGGTCCAGTATAAGGACAGTGGAGCTGAGGCTTGTGGGGGGTAAGGAGTTATCCCAGGACAACCTTAGTCTTTTCCTTGGGACAAGAGGCAGTACAGCAGGGAGAAACTCAGGGCTCTGGGGGCCCCCTGCAGATAGGTTTGTCACACCTCCCCACTTACATTTTTGTCACCAGAAAGCAGAAGCTGAGAAAATTGCTTTATGTCTTCTGGTTTCTAATAACCATTTTTTTTATGGCTAAGGAACCTGGTCCAGAGCCTGCTGGAATCACTGGAGCGGCTCCATTTGAGTTTAGTTGGCTTTGGAGTAGGTTATTAATATTCATAGATTAATTTTTTCATAGATGTTAGGGTTGGAAGAGACCTCAGTAGATCATTGAAACCGAACCCCTGCCCTGGGCAGGGAAGAGCACTGGGGTCAGATGGCTCCAGCCAGGTGCTTGTCCAGTCCCCTCTTGAAGACCCACAAGGTAGGGGAGAGCACCACCTCCCTTGGAAGCCCATTTCAGATTCTGGCAACCCTTACTGTGAAGAAGTTCTTTCTAATGTCCAACCTAAATCTGCTGTCTGTGAATTTGTGGCCATTGTTCCTAGTTACTTCACGGGGTGCCCTAGTAAATAGAGCATCTCCTAGTCCCTGCTGCCCTCCCCTGATGAATTTATAGGCAGCCCAAGATCATCTCTCAGCCTTCTCCTGTGAAGGCTGAAGAAATCTAGGTCCCTCAGTCTCTCCTTGTAGGGCCTTGCCTGTAGGCCTCTGACCATATGAGTGTCCTCCTCTGAACCCTCTCAAGGTTCTCCGTATTCCTCTTGAAGCGCAGAGCCCAGCACTGGACACAGCACTCCAACTGTGGCCTGACCAGTGCCACATACAGGGGAAGCATCACCTCCCTGGATCCGTTCGTCATGCATCTGGTAATGCATGATAAAGTGCTGTTAGTCTTGTTGATCACTTTGTCACATTGACAACTCATGTTCATCTTGGAGTCAGCTATGACTCCAAGATCCCTTTCTGCTGCTATGCTGCTGAGAAGGTCATGCCCCAGCCTGTAAGTGTGTTGGTGGTTCTTCTTGCTCAGGTGCAGCACTCCGCACTTGTCTTTGTTGACCTGCATCCTATTCCATTCTGCCCATTTCCCAACCTGTCCAGATCTGCCTGAATCCATTCCCTACCCTCCAGTGTGTTAACTTTGTCCCATAACTTGGTATCATCTGCGAACTTGGACAGGGTGCTCTGTATAGTCAACACCTGTTAATATCAGCATGTCAGTGATCTCATGTTATGTTGCTTCCAAGTGACTGTTGTTATTATAGGGAGGGTCATCTGTATACCTGGTATGAAAAATGTTCCCGGGGAAAAGTTTCTGATAAGCAGCTGTTGCTCTTTTACCAGGTGTTGTTGCAAATCAACTTTGGCTGTGCCTGTTCAAATGGCCCTTGCTGTTTTGTGGGAGGTTCTTGCAGTGCCACTGACTGGTTGACAGCTGCATGGTGGGTCCCACTCTTATTCAAAGGAGTAATGTATAGTAATATGATCAACTAGAAAACTTGTCAGATATGAGTAGCTCAGTTGGAGAAGTCTTTACCAGTTCATTTATAGATACATGGGACATAAAGGTCCAAGTGCTTGCTGGCCACACAGCATGGAGGCAGAAATCATTAAGGAGGCTGTGAAGGGATCTGATTTTGGACTGGTTGGGATTCTCTAAGGAAAAGCACTTGGGGAAGTTTCAAGGTGAGCTTTTCCTCTCAGGAATGCATCCACAGCCCATCACACAGTGCCTGATGGATGTTCTGGCTCACCCCTGCCCTCCCAGCAGTAGAAAGGCAAGTACATGTAATAGTGAAGGAGCAATACATGTGGGAAGGTCCTGCATAGGGGAAGACATATGCCCATTTATGTGCAGTAGCATCAGCTGTCTGTTCTGGCAGAGGTTGAGCAGCCAGCAGAGACTGAGATCAACTATTTTGGCTATGTCCTGGAACTGAGGACTCTCAGTTGGACAGATGGAAGACGTGCCAAAGGAAAAGGGAAGTGGAGGTCGGAAATCCAAGGGAGATACTGATCCAAATGCTCAGAGGACAGCAGGGTCTACCTCTTTGTCCAAATGCTTATTAGCAGTGTAGTGGGCTAGGATACACATGCAAATGGAGATTTTTTGTAGTGTATAAATTGGTCAAAGATGAATAGATTGTACAAGGGAGAATTCAAGGTATTTCTCTGGCTGTAGAGACAGCCCTATACTTCATACCTCAAATTCCAGATCTCTGTGCACTAGAGCTGATCAAAAATCCAGCCTGATTTTTTTTTACATAATGCAAAGTACACACTATTCATTGACCCCATGCCGAAATGAATGCCCTTTATGGGCCTAAATTTAGAAAAGTCCAGCCTCAGGTAGAGAGCAAGCACAAAACATTTTAGTCAGTCAGGCTGAAGTATGCCAAAGTGAGAAGTGAATGAAAACATTTATTTTTAATGGGAAGATGTGGCCAGTCCTATGAACGGCATCACTGCTGCACTTTCTATGATAAGGGTTGAATTGTTTGCTAGTTCTCTTTGCCTTATGCAGCTGCAGTCAGGTCTGCTGGATTCTTACCCTTTTGCACCCATAAATGACTGAACTGTTAATTGCTGCATTCTCTCTGCAGTTCCACTGCTACAACTCCATTGACAGAAATGAGTTACCTGCACAAAAATTGCCGTTGCTGATGGCCTGGCACCACTGGTGGCAGTGGCCACTAAGCCACCATAGCTGTCCCATGCACTGCTGCTGCCCCGGGTGCAGAACTGCCCAGCTACACTTCTGCTAATTACCCAAACACAGCGAGCTGGACCAAGTGTGACAGATGGCATAATGAAAGCTGCTGAATATGGATTGTTCCTTGAGGCATAAAGGGTGCTTCTACACTAACGATGCGGCCAGGAGGAGCCCTGATCGCCTGATGG